AGATTGTCTAAACCACTTTATTTGGAGGTTAAAGCCAAGTTAGTGTACCGTTTTTAATGTCTGTAATAACATAATTATCCCTCATTGCACTGGGAAAACTTTGTGGATGCATCAACTACCACACAGGTACTGAAGGTCAAAAGAATGAAAACATTGAGTCGGGTCTGTAAACTGTGATGGACGTTTTACAAAGGTCATTTTTACTTGTTCACTGGTATGTTCTTTCCAAATAACTTTGCTCTTAACCTAAGGGGTTTCTGTTTTAAAACCTGTATGATATTCTTGAAAAGCTTGTACTGACTTCTTTTCACCACTCTCATTCCCATATCTCTGTTTAACTTGGCCAATTAAAACTGAACTGAACCTAGACTTAAAAGTGTCGTAAATGTCTTTGCTCAATAGAGACTGAGGGACTTTTTTTCAGCCACTTGTTGGCCAAATAGCTGGGTGGGAAACAAATTAGAGAGCGCATAAAAAACCTGCGATCGCAAACCAATCCAAAGTCCTCTCTTAGGGGCGGGACATGGCAAGGTAACAGTAGTTCAATATTCAGCCACTGTTGTTAAGTACAGGTGTGTCCCTTTTAATTTTGTAAGGGTCACAACCAAATTGTATGGCTACATGAAGCTGCCGTCTCGGATTGATCTCTCTCTGGCTCAATGACTGGAATTGCTTGATAATATTACCCAAAGGCACAATAAAGCTTATCTTATCTAACGATATGGGCCTCCCGTGGCTATTAAAAGTCCACTTCTAGGATGTTGAGAGCTCTTTTTGGGGGCAAATGAGGTTGGTAGATTGAAAGGTGAATCATGAGTTGCCTAACATTAATTCATTAACGACTTTTATGATATGGTATTGTCATCTGAATAGCTGTATCTGAGTTTGTATCTGCTTCCTGCATTAAGGTATCTCCAGTGCAGATACCTTACATTTCCTGTGTTTGGTGTTTCCAATCAGGCCTGAACATCGCTGCATCCTGTCCCAAGCCTGGGCAAGGAGAGATGATCTTATCACCAGGACTCATTGACCAACACAGTGCACAGGGTGAGAAAAAATAAAAAAATAGAAAACTCAGTAGATGCATAAGACAGTACAGGTTTGCTGAGTAAAAAGCCAATGCATTAATGCTGTATCATTTGGCCATGCAGTTGGGTTTACACATTGCTTTTGTCTTAAGTTTGCGCTTGTGTGCGATATCCTATTTGAATCCACATTATCAGGCGTCTCTGGGCTCTAATGTAACAGAGACTGAACTGGACTGAGAGTCTGGGGAGCAGAGGGGGCTGAGGCAGAGAAGATTGCTGGAAAGTATTCCCTTTGATAAGCCGGCCAAGAAGCCTTTGATTAAATGTGGTCCCAGCAGGAGCCCACACTAGGTCCTCTGTGGCACGACCATGTCCAATCACCAGCTATCAACAGCCCCGGGTAATTACAGCCATCTAGTCATTAGCCTGGGACCCACCTGGAATTCCACATAGCGAGGGGTGGGATGAGGCCAGCAGGGGTTGGGGCTTAGGTTGGGCCTTTAATCAAACACTTCCCTCCCCTTGACTGATATAACTCACCCCACCCCTACTCACACTGAATCAGCCTTTGTTACTAACATAGATTGTATTCTTACTGCCCCGGTGTCTCTCAACTCATGCTGGTGAGGAGCAGCGATTGTGTGTGTGTGTGTGGAGGTTACGACAGTGGTCCAGCAGAACTTACTCACTGTTTTGCACGGTCACACTGACACACTAGTTCTGCGCTTTCGGCGCTATCTAGTCTCTTTCTTGCTTTCAACCTCCATGTTTGTCTGTCTGAACAAAAAACAAAGATTCCAGTGTGATACTAATGCACCATATATTTCATATGAACATCTGTTTAGATAAGGTAATATACACAATGTTATACAAGCAAGCTGGAGAGCAGAGAAGTCAAATCTGTTTGATGCTGTGGTTACGTGTGACTTAATGACCGTCCAGGCCTCCTTCTTCTTCTTCTTCTACTTGTCAGCAGCAGTTCGTCGTCTTACACACTGAAAACTAGAGTACACTGTATAATAATGGGAGTGCTCTTCTCTCTCATCGTGTCAGCCAATGTAGTGCAGTCTCATCCGCAGATGAGAAATAAAGCAACACTTTACAATTTAAATAAATCACTTTAAACAACTTTTTCTTTCTTTTCTTTTCTTTTTTTCCTTTTCTTTTGTTTACAGTTGCATTCAAAGTTCCAATGACACATCCGTCCATTTATTCATTTGGTGTCCAACTCCCTGTCCTCCCTTGTAGTCCTCTGCCTGGACTTCTGTTTGGCCACACAGAGCCAAACTTGCACTTAGATGTCCACTTCTCAAAGGGCACTTGTCAAGCTACCTACCAAAGTCCAACCAAGTATTTGTTTTTGGTAGAAAAGTGTATTTCCCCAAAAAAAGAAAGAAAACTATGTGAGTATATGATGTTGTAATAATACTGGATACGTTTGAAGGCTCACTTAATGTAAAAATGTGTCTTTAAAGCATCATGAAAGCAGCAAACCATTTTTAAACCAGAACCACACACTAGTAAAAAGGCCGTCTGGACTGAATCTGTGATAAAAGCCCAATCCGCCCGAACCCCAAAGTGTTCACTGGTTTCACCGTTCATCATCTGATCCCAGCAGTTCAGTCACAGGGCCATTCACAAACAGGGGCTAACGGGTAATAATTCATATTGATGGGTACTGAATTCTAGTGCTTTCACAGAGACAGGTAGAAAAGCCATGCAATGATGAACCAAGATGGGGGCAGGAGAGGGCGGAGATGCAGAGCACTTTTGGACAAACTTTCCCAGAATGCCATGTTCCACAGGATGTCCTGTAAGGGGGAAAGGGGTGGGGCTGCATTACAGGGGGCGGATGGGGCGTGTCCTCAGGTCTGGTCCAGCCATTCAGCTCGTTTGGGGGCTTTGCATGTATGTATGTCCACAGCTTCCTCACAGTCCTTACACTCCACGGCGCAGCACCATTTGAACTTGCACTCGCACTTGGTGATTTGCTTGACTCTTGTGGTGTCGTAGCCCCGCCCACAGCACATGACCTCACAGCCATCTGTGCCACGTGATGTCTTATTACAGACCCGCCCAGCCGTGCCCAGGGAGCCTGCACAAGAGTACAGAGTAGTTAGCTAATGAAAGCTAAAAGTTTTTCTTAACTGGTCCTTTGAGTTGTACTTCTCTATGAATTCTTCTACAGAAAAAAACAAGAAGTGGCAGGTTATTTCTACAGATCGATCAAATCAAATAAAAAATTAATCAGCAAGTGCTGAAACTGAATATCTGGTTTAGGTTGGAACAAAACACATAATTAGTTACCTTGGGCTTCACCATTGTTTGACATTTTATAGACCAAACAATCGGTTAATCGAGAAAACATTCGGCAGGCCAGCAATATTGAGTCGCAGCCCTAGTCTAGCTGCTGTTCCACTAGCGTCTGTAACTTAATGCAATCTCTAATTGAGGGTTACTTTTTGTGAAATGTGTTCCTGGGTTACTATGCCATTTTGCCCTGCCTGTCCATTTTCATAACTCACTGTTCGACTGGTGACATTTATGCTGCATTCAGGCAATGTTGACAGAATGGGAAGAATAAGAATACCTCCTATTATTCTTACTTGGGAGTGTTCAGGCATCATACCAAGAGGGTATAGTGACCGCATTTGAATAGCTTAAATTAGCTACTTGAGTTACTTTGTTAACAAATAAAACCAGATAAAAACTGTTTATGTATAGACACCTTAAATTAGTTGAATGGATTTTGTTAGTTTTAAGATGGGTTTTGTTTACTTGCAAGCGATACTTGCAAGCGTGACTTTGTAGCCATGTTGCCAGCAGTTTGTTGACTCGTCTGAAGTGAAAGCTGCATAGCTGTCAGAAATTCCCAATATCTCTGACACAATTACAGCTTAGAGGCTAACTTGAATAGTTTTCACGGCTCAGCTACTCATAATTAAAAAGAAAAGATAAACATGGCATTAACCTGGCATTAAAATGGTGTTCGTTAGAGGCTGCTAAAAACAGAAATACCAAATTGAACATTACAATGACCTTTAGCAATTTGCGTTATTGCCAATGTTACTATTTTAAAATGAGTTTTGGAACAAGACCCAGAAGTTTTAGCTTCACTTTAGCTCTCGGATTGGTTCGATATCTGATCTGCTAGTCACTGTTGTTGAGTGTATCGGAGTGTTTGGAAGTCTGGCTATTACCTAATGCAGTGGCATATTGTCTGTGTCTTATGTGAATGTCATCCCCACAGAGATTAGTTCTGGTGTTTCGTGTGAGAAGCTCCCTGTTTGAACTGCTACCTATCACAACAAGCTGCCCATAGAACAACAGACCCACACACACAACTATGCAGTGTTGGTAGAGTGGCCTATAGTTACACTGCCTTTCCCAAGCCACTGCTCCCTTTGAAGCCACTCTATGTGTGTGAGTGTGTGTGAGGGTTAAATGGACAGTGGAGCGTGACAGACAGACAGGCTCTCACACTCTGAGGCCCACTCTGCCCTCCAGCTACGCTTAGTTCAGACAGACAGAGAGGGAGAGACTGTGACAGACAGAAGTGATTTTTTTTTTTTTTTTTAAATTAGCTGCTTGTGTCCCTAGGCTGTGGATTCCACTGGGAAGGTGAGAAAGAGGGGGAGGATGGACGCAGGGATGAAGCCCGACAAAGGGAGCAAGGAAGAACTGGACAGAGCTTCTGAGTGATGGAGGTCATGTTAAATATCGTAAAAGTTTGACTGACAGTGTTTCATCCATCAACAAGCAGAAAGAGTCAGAACTGATTTGGTGAATGGTGTTGAACACATCCTCTGACCATGGGGTTGTGTATATGTGTGTATATATGTGTGTGTGTGTGTGTGTGTGTATGTGTGTGTGTTGACAGAGACTGATAGAGGTCAGGTGGTCACAGAAAGACCATGTCCCCGGGGTACGAGGATATTAGCTTCCACAGTACTCACACAGGAGGCCTGCTGTGTTATCTGACTACCATTGCACACATAAACACACTAGTCATGCATGAACATATACACAACATACACATAACACCCCTAAAACTTAAGACAGTCGGGGAAATCCATCAACATCCATGAAAAACTGCCTCTCCGCCTTCTTCTCTCCCTTTGCCGTCTTACCTGCTGATTTGTCTTGTAGGCAGTAATCCGGAGAGTTCTCAAAGTAGACCAGGTCGTTCTTGGTGGCCTTCCTAAAGGCTTTGTTTGCTACAGCGAAGCCTGTCCCGTCCTGATTCATCGTCACTTCGATGGCCCCATTGTATTTCCTCCTCAGGTAGTCACCAGTCTTCCTGAAGTCTGACATGGCCATCCAACATGTTCGCAGCGTGCAAGAGCCGCTCACGCCATGACATTTACACTCCAGCTTCATGAATCGCTTCACTGCCTAAATGTATAGAGAGAAGTGGGGATTGTGTGTTTTAGCCATCTTGAAATATTAGTTTACACGTTCTAAAAAGCAGCACTAAGGCCGAAACATTTCTTAAAAGGCTCGTTTAACGAACTCTCATGAAACCATATTTCTTATTTAATGTATCTCTAGTGGTATCTAGTCTTGCAGATATTCTCTTGTGTCATCTGCCAAGGTTTTGAGATAGATAAAATGGAGCTCATCTTACAGTTTTATGAACTGAAGACATTATTATAGATTAAATATTTAATTGGCCAGACCTTGGTGACCTTGTGAGTTGGTCTGGCTCACATTGAGATTGGATCCAAGCAAGGATGTGAATGCAGTCTGTACAATTTGGCTATGTTGTTGAGAAAAAGATTTCCTTCAATAAGTTGATAATAAACCCAACTCTGCATCTTCCACTAGTTTTCCTGCTCCACCCACCAGATTTGCATATAGAGATTCAATTACAATGCAGGTGGAATCGTTTAAATGGGATCCAAGATGCAGATATATCAAAACTTAGGCAAACATTTGTAAATGAGTGAGATTTTTTTCATTATTTGGGTATTATGATGTAATCACACACTTACTGTTCTGCCACAACGGTTGTTGTGAAGGTTCATAAGCGCCCGCGCATCTCGGACAGTCCTCTCTTTGGCATCTATGAAGGCTTTGGCAAACTTTATCCCATAGTTGATGTTATCACTACAGCCACCCCAGTCAAACTCTCCTCTCTCGTCGCTAGCCCGTCCACGCTTGTGTGGGTCACAGTTACACGTCTTCAGCTCCCCCTGGCTGCAGGCGCGAGTAAGCGCATACACCACTCCTGCTGAGGAGATGGCATAGACAAATGCTGCTTCACGACTGCCTGAGAAAGAGACAGAGGGCACAAAAAAAGCACAAAGAAAATACAGAGAGATTAGACAGTTACTTGTGTCATGCAATACTGTAGAGTTTTTTAAGACCAGAAGACTTAACATGCAGCCCGCATGTTAACATGCATACACAGATACAGATAATGCCTTGACCAGGCCTGGGCATGAGCCATCAGGACATAAGGTGCAGCTGACGGGGGCATATCAGGCCTGATGTGGAGTATAGGACAGCTCTGTTTAAATATTATCATGGAAATAATCCCAGCTGCGGGGCTCTCCTCTGCTCACATAAATTGTTTAAATACAGACACAGTGATACCCCATTAATCAGCGCCAGGGTGATGTCATGACAGCATTTTCTACCATTGCTGTGCTTTTCCGGTCTCTTTAGTTCCTTAGAATATGACTCATCTATTGTGTGAGAGAATTAGTTATAGTGTTTGGTCACAGTTGCTTTTTTGCAGGGCCTGTGGGAATGAATGCCCCAAATTACAACATGGCAGCAAAAGATAGTAGAACGCCATCTTTAGTCACTCACATAATACAAATCATTTTGTTCACTTTTGACAACCACCTGGAATCAATGCTTTTAATCATCAACTGTTGAATTTCTATAAATTTTTGTGTGGACTTTTATGGTTCCTAGAGCATGAATGATGGTTTTGTTGACCATACAACCTTTTCATCTTGTGCACACTTACGCACAAGGAACATCAGCACAACTAAACAACTACGTCTACTAAAAATTTTATATTGAATAAATAAATATAGCTAAATAATGATTGCCATGAAATGTGCTAAGCATATTCATGCTCCCCAGAAGATTAACTCGTTTCACTGCGTTTATATGCGTTTTTGCATTGTTCTCTGAACGCTGCCAAAACATGGGTGACCACATTGCAGCACTGTGACTGAACGCATCCTAGCCTCAGTCCTCCAAAGACACTGACGGAGGACCGAAACTGCTGTGCTGTGGACGTGGTGCTTTCGTGATGCGATCTGTGTAAACAGGATGTGAGACTTTTAATCTTGTTTTATATTAGGTTGGCTCGCAGTTGCATGTTAACAAAAGGTGCATCAGACATATGTCTCTTGGCTCTTTTGAACTGTCTCGGGTTCTAACCATGCTCATATACATAATTGTTTTAGTTTGATCACAACCTCAAGATGTTAGAAGTATTTAAAAGCTGTAGCAAACTATTCCAAAATCTGCAGACGAGGAGAAATAATAATGCATTACATTTTTTTACATTAATAAATTTGGTTTTGAATTTAAAAGTCTGTCCTGCAAAGCAACATGTAAACCCATGAGTGATGCAATAATGAAGGATAAAGTTTGATGAACTGGAAATACTCAAGTACCAGCACTTCAAACTAATGTCCCAAAACTAACTGATATAGTATTGATTTTAAATGACTAAGGGTGGGGCTCTTTAGTACCTGAAAACAAGATACACTCTGTAAATCCATCTGAATCAACCCAGGCTAGAAGAGTTTGTGTGATCCAACCTGTTTGCTCTGTATTCACTTGAATGTCCCATTCCATCTCTGGGTTGAGGAGAGGAGAGCAGTGGGTGCTGTTGAGGGGGTGTGTGTGGGGGAGGATGGAGGAGGGCATTGGTGGTCATCATTCAAACCTGTGCTGTTTGTCTGACAGTGAGAATATCTCTAAATATTTACATCTACATTACTGTTTATTCCTTTCCGCCACACACACACATGCAGCCTGTATCTCCATATCTGCTACTTTTTTCCATGCATCACTGGCCCCCACACATGCTTAGGATGGCTGGAAGAGGGACAGTTACAAGCCGAGGAGAGTCAGAGACGTAAGATACTAAGTCTGTTCAGACAAGCATCATATTTTGTGCAAACTGAGCCCAGATACATTACAGTTGTGCCTTGCTCAAAAAGTGCAAAAGTTAAAGCAGAGTCAGTATCAGAGAGACTCACAGGTGCATCACTGTGTCCGTGCTCTGCATTCAGAATGCAGCAGTAAGCTCTACCAGCTACTGCATTATCTTTATCATTGCAAAAATAATGTTTGATACAGAGCTTAAAGAACAGTTATCATTTAAGGTTTCATGCAAAATACCCAGCTTATTTTAAGAAACCAATATTACTTGGCTATCAGGTCATTTAATAAATACTTGTGTTTCAGACTGTCTGCAGTTATAAAACCCTTCATAAGGAGGAATTATGCCTGCACTGGCTACAAAGATAGTTGGAAATATGTATGTTAACAAGCATGTGCGCCTGTGTGCATGTGTGTATAGGCATGAATCTGTTACAAAGCAGAGAGATCTTGCAGGAGTGGAAAAATAATATGACGACAAGCCCACGTCTCGAAGCCCCTGTGTTTATTGACGGGCCATAAGGCATTACAACAGTCCATTAGCGACTATAAACACGGAGCACCAGCATATGTGAGTATGAGATGGATAGATCGGAGAAAGAACAGAGCGAGGCGAGAAGGACAGACAGGAGAAGGAAGAGATAAGGCAGTAAAAGTGAAGAAGAAGGGTGAGCAGGGAGATAGTAGCAGATGGGACTCAGGTTTAGGTTTAGTATCTGTACTCCCTGGCCACACAGTCAGTCATCAGACGGGCGTACATGTTGTAGACACACACATGGACTTACTCCGTAGCAAGACACGTCCAAACACGGTGTGGTCACGGTCCAGAGTGCTACAGTTCCAGCGATGGTGTCTGAACTGGTGCTGGCACTCTCTGATCCACTCCTTGGTGCCCTCGCCGATGGCCTGCATGATGTCTGGGTGGCGCTGGCAGAGTTGCCGCTGCTTGTTGACCAAGCCTGGGATGTTGTCGCAGATCACACGGGCCCCGAGCGCACCAATGTACCTGAAGATGCATAAAACACATTCATATAATTTGTGTGAAGCACAGATGTGACTGATGGTATGCTGCAATTGATTAGTACACATCGGTTCACTCATAAGATAGGTGTGTACACACACACACACACACACCCAGCAGTGGTGAGTGACATGAAGGAGAGAGAGATGCAGGAACAGTCTTCTGTGAGTCAGAGTTCACTACACTTAACAGTTTAAGGTTTGCGAGTAGGAGGGGAGTGGAAACCATTTACTCCACTCTCCAAATAAATAAGCACTTAACCTCTCCCCACAAGACCCGCATGTGTATGTGTGTTTAAATGTCTCCCAATGGGATAGTTGAAATCATGTCGTCACAAATCAGAGCACAAAGTCCAGGGCCTCCAATAACCCTGTCAAACTAAGACCCCATTTACTCACTTTACTCCTCTCTGTCTTCTGCCTGTTCTCATTCTCATCTCACTCACAGTTCCCCTTCCATGCTTCTTCCAGTATTTCTCCCTGTCCCAATAAAACAGACTCTTACATTATCCTGTAAAGATAAATGCTGCTTTGAGCTTGCCCGAAATAAACCTAATCGTGACGATGTGTGCGCGGGCGTGAAACCTCTTGTAGCTCGGTGGCTGCAAGGTTTTGGCGGGTCAGCGAGGGGAGGTCAGGGAGCGTGTAGCTGTGTGGTCGTGTTTTACGAGGCCGGGCAAGAGGATGGAGACTGGAGGCTCTCTGCTCCCTAGAGTGGGATTAGAAAGGGGTAGGAATACGAACTGAGTGCTCATCAAAGGAAGCAGCCAAGGCTGCAATTCACACTTAATTTTCTCTCTCCTTTTCTCGTTGAGAGTCAAGAGGAGTTGTGGATTTTATAGGATAATCAATCAATATCCACAGGTCTAAAACAACATGCTGTAAAGCCCTGCGACTCTACTGTGAATCATAGAAGGAAGACGAGTAGGAGACAAATAGGGAACTCCTGATGACGCAGCCACTAAAACAAAACACTAATAACCTAATCATTTCCTCCAGCTTCATCAGTAGGAAATCATTTCACTTTAGTCTGGGGATTTCTTGATACATTTGCTAAACATGCAGCAAATAAGCGACTTGACACTTGAGACTTGGAACACAACAAACATAAGTCAAACTTGCAACAACGTGCACATTATTTGCTCCTGTTCAGACTTGACAAATACTTTGAAACTGTGGGCGTTCTTTATATTATAATAAATTGTATTATGATTTTAAAATGTAATGTATTTATATTACATTATACATTTGCGGCAGTAACACCCCCAACAATCATTTTTGTGTTAAAGCCCCCAGATCTTCCCTTATCACCACTTGGAGGCTACACCTACAGAAATCTGATCAACAGTTAAATACTGTATCTCCTACACTAAATTCCCCTTAAAGCCAGTAATGCTTAGCCAAAGCCTCCACACACACTCTTCCCACTACTCCCCATAACTGCTTTTAATCTACACAAACTATTAGGCATTCCATCACCCCCATACCCGCCCACACACAGACACTTCTCCTATAAACACACACATACACACGGACATTTTCACGCATGTTATTGCGCAGGCAATGAGATATTTTTTCACCCCTCACCTATGCTCTAGATGGCTGGTTTTGGGGTATTTAAGTGAAGTAAATTCTCTGTGTGTGTGTGTGTGTGGTACCTGGTGAATTAATGACTGCTCTGCCTTGTCGACTACAGGCTCCAGCTGAGCTGAACACGCGCTCAGCCAACAGCGCCGGCATAAATTACATTTATCGCTCTATTATTATTGCTCAATATGGCAGGCCAACAAACTGACAGCAGGAAAATGCGTTTTAGAAACAAAATCCTGAAGAAGCTTGAATCTAGTTCACCGACTCATAATTTATGCTATTTTCACTGTTAATTCTCCATAATTTTCTCTTACTCTGTTCAGGAGCAAATCATTTTGACTTGAATTAAACGATGACATAAAAACACATTTAGTTTTTCTTTGCGGTCGTTTCCCAATAAATATTACAAGGCAATACACTCATTCGTAACAAATAATAGCCTATAAAACTTTTTAATGAACCTCTTGAGTTCAGATTATGCAGCAAAAAAAAGCACAAATAAGAACAATAATGATAAAAATCTGAGCAGCAAAAAAAAAAGCACTGTCGGCTATAGAACGATAATAAATTAACTGATACAAACCCTCAACCCTCATAATGGCCTTGTCTGTCTGCTGTCGGAAAATCGCTGCTCCGAATTAATTGGAACGGGTTTTTGCTTTTTCTTTTGGAAAGCAATTATTAAAATAGGCATCATAAGTTAAATTCGTTGGCAGTGTGAATCCCTTAGGTTTCTAACGAAAGAGCCAAAGCCACGCAGTACTTACAGCTCCGATTCAAATGATTAAGATCAATGATCAGTGTTCAGATTGTGTGGCATTTTCCTTACCTTCCATTCGCAGTTAAACTATTGATTTAATACTAACTGACAACAATAGTCAATAATCATTATCAGTGGTATGTTGTTATTGTTGTTGTTATTATTTTCGTAATTGTTCTTCCTAAAGAAAATGTAGAAATTCTGCTCCCATAAATCTTGTTGGCAGGCAGGTAGGCCTAGGTGTGCGGGATGCAGACACTCACCACCATGAAGAGTCCGCCCGAGGAGTCACCACCAGCAGCAGCAACAGACATGCACAGTAAATCCTCGAACTGGCACCGGGGTTTTGGCATGAAGGAGACCGGGATGAGAGTCTGGCTCCCGGCGAACCACAGCTCCGAATCCTGGCTGTCCGGAGGCTCAGAATCCTGTTTAAACCCAGCATGGCTCTGCGCTTTTTTTAACTACCAAAAAAATTCTTCTGATTTCAGAAGAAAACTTTATCAGTCTGAGAAGGTTTGATGTGAAGTAGGTTAGGCACCCATTCAGTAGGTAGGCCTCATTATCCAGTGTGTGGCTCCATATTAATAGCGCGACTGTCAGAAGTGTGAGGAGCGCGTTGTCTGTGCCATGTGCGCACCAGACTTTCCACTGAGCACTTCTGCCTGCCGACGGGAGGTTTACCTGACAAGACGAGCAACAAGTGTCGGCTATCTCACCTCTCCAGTCAGCTCCCCAAAACACTTATCCTTGTTTTTTTTTTGCTTAGTTCAGAGGCAGAAATAGGATCCGAATCCCAGCTGGAGCCAAAGGTTGGCAGATGGGAGACTCTCTGCAGTTCTGTCGGCTGTGTGATTCTGTGCTGGGTCGGATGCTCACACCGGACCTCTCCTTTATCAGTGCGCTGTGGACAGAGTCAGAGCTGAGAGAGAGAGAGAGAGAGAGAGAGGGGTGGAGGGTAGAGAGAGAGATGAGGGAGGGCTTGCTGCTGACAGCTCCCCTCGCCCATTGGGCAGATGCTGGGGTTACAGAGTTTGACTAGGAAGGAGATATTAAAGAGGGATGGATGGAGAGAGGTGCCTTCATGTGTGCCTTGGTGCTGGGTTGAGGGGTGATGCTGCTGTTGAGGTCAAGACGTCCTAATGTGAGGAGTTCATCTGTAACCACAGACAGGAATTATTATAACCAATGATGGCGCCTGCATTTTACAACCTTGTAAAACTGGATAATTAAATCACAGGAAAAAATTGTTTTTTTTATATATTATAAAGGAATTAGTTTGACAAAAAGTTTTTTTTCCCATTTGCAATGTAAAATACTGCAAAGTGCAATAATTTCTTTGTAGAAACATAATGAGAGAGCAAATGCCTGCACTAATATGTTGGAAGTGCAATTATTAATTGCAGTCATGGATACAGTTTAGTGGATTTCGTATTCACACATATCATTTTATCTAACATCTGTTGTTATTCACAATGATTAATAATTAGAATCAACTCTGTCATATTTACTGCATATTATTGTACTTCTTCTGCTCCTCATGCTGGTCCTCACATACACCCCTCACATATTACTGCATAACATTGACCTTAACGTTAATATCAACCTGTCCATGGACTGCACATTTTTGGCTAAATCTGGCACACTTACGTCATATTAACATTAATTCACGTGTGCTGTCCCCAATAAAGATATAAATTAAGTAAGTAAATCTGTGACATTGTGTAAGTTATTTTTATTAACAAACACTTATTTCAATATTTGTCACGCCTGCAGCTACGCACCGACAAAAGCACAGCACAAATGAAAGTCAGAGAAAAAAGCTGGGAATGTGGGACTGGAAGAACAGAGCCAAAATCGTCCAGTGGAACAGCACTATGGCTTAAATATGAACCACATGTGTAAGAGAGGGAGAGTGCTGAGACAGTGCTCGAATAAAGCATGCACACACACACACACACACACACAAACTGTACATTGTCCCTGGAGAGCGACAATCCTTACCTTTCTTCCCACGTGTGTGTGCATCTTCAGGTTGTCTACAGGCTTGGCAGTGAGCTGTCATCTATCAGCAAATCTCTGATATTTCCCTTTGTCCTCAAACGGCTCCTGACAGATTCAAATCCACTTTTAAGTAACCACAGACCTTTCGCACACTCAAAAACGGGCGGCTTGACTTGTTTACAGACACCAATTCACACTGTTTTTTTTATCAGTGTAGACTTGAACTTCTCTGGGGAGTTTGTGATATTGGATTAAGAATACCACAGTTGGTTCAGCTGACCCAGTAATACTAACAAACAAGTAAACATATCAGGAAAATCCCTCTCGGAATTGAAACTATTAGAATTAGCAATAGCTGTTGCAAACACTTATTTCATCAAAAGCTTGAGAAAACAGTTCTAGTGTTTATGCCAAAGCTGCTGTTAAAGCTAAGCTCCTTTTAGAGACATTTGTATTTTTGCTTAGGCTGCTGTCAGAACTGGACTAACACACACACACACTTTTAAAAGTTTTCAGAGACAAGCACATGCACAAACACGCAGACCAGGAGTGGGTACAGGTTTGTGAGAGGCCGCGAGGTGAGGCAAAGAGGCTAAGCTGTGGTGAATATTTGTGCGGTGCAGTTTAGCTCACAATTTTCTGCTAAATCAAAAGGAATTAGGGAAGCACAAACATGGCTGAGTTATGCTCTCTCTCACGGGGCTGGAGTTGGAACAGACTTTCTCCCTCTCTCTGTCTCTCTCCCAGCCTGTGAACTTGACCCCAGCTTTCTCCTCATAAACAATAACAGAGTCAAGCGCCTTCTTGTCAGTTGGAGGAAAAGTTTGCCCTGATGTACGAGCTCCAATCTGGCAACCATCTCCTCAGAGGAAAAGTACTGACGGGGGTTGCTATGTTTAAATGCTGCGCTGGGGTGAAGGAGGGATAAAGGTGAGATTTACAGAGGCAGCGGTTTTGGACTAATCCAATTGATTTCTGTGTTGATACATTATAATCACTCAGGATTATTTCTGAAAGGAAAGTTGCTGGGAGAAAGTGGAAAGGGCTGAATGAACCAAGGGCAAGCCAGAGGCACGCACTGAAGGTGGAAGAGTTGGACTAATGGCCCAGTAATGTGTCCCCTGTGGGGATTATGCTGTGGGCTGTCACCAGTCAGGCAGTCCTGGGATGAGCTCAGCATGTATTCCCATCCCCTGGCAGACTGGAGCAGGGAGGACAGCCTGTCATCAGACCTGGCCAAGTTCCCATACTGATGGGACACGCAGGGGCAAACTCAACACCGGGCAGGTCTGAGGGAACATGAACAAGGGACAGGTGGAAGAAGGACAAAGAGAAAAAGGAGTCTTTGACTAACAACTCATAGTAATAACAATTTCTCCAGCCTAAACAACATGATAACTCATTTGTCATTGTCGTATAAAAAGACCCATGTGGGTGTTTTCTGGTCTGGTTCCCGTATCAGCAGGACAGCGTTGTCTGTAGGGCCTTCCCATAGAGATACTGCGGGCTGCTACATCTGAGGCCACATTCAGATCAACTTTATTCATTTGAATGGAGCCAATCCGGCAGCGCAGGGGTGCCAGCGGCAGTGGCTTCGGCCAAATAAGGGTGATCATCTCACGAAAAAGTTGAACCATTGGCCAATCATACATGCAAGCACACATTCCTGTTAGATTACTTTGTAATGCGAACGCCGTATATCTGTTGTTTACCCTGTGATTGTTGAGATCCTGTCTGATATCTCTCCACTTTTGTACAGTGTTTCGACATCTGATTATCCTTTAAACGCATTAATCTGTAACTCAAACTGGACTTCATGGATCATATTTCTCATCAGTACCTTAAACAAGCCCCCACCAATGCAGCCCCCCTGCATTTTTTTAAATCAGGGCTGTTTTCAGTCTGGACCCCTGCCTGGTTCAGCCAAATAAAACTATTTGGTTGAGGTCAGGTGAAGATCAGTATCGTGGTCAAAAGAAACCAGAGTTGACTGTTGGTGGAAGACGGGGTGAGAACAGCGGTCCCCAGTGTTAAAGTTGGATGCCTTGTACACCCAGCTATCCATGCTAACCTCCTCCATATGAGCTTGTACAGCACTATGATGTCACCTTACTTCCATCTTTACTTCTCAGAGACATCTGTCATAACTTACATGGCCACAAGAGGTCGCTTTTGAGGAAAATATAAACACGGGTCGTTTTAAGTGTTTGAACACCTGACCAATTCTGGTATTTTTTTTGGACAGTTTCAAGGACACTTTCCATTATGAACATTTTATTTGAATTGTTGCAGGATGACATATTGTAGATGGATTTGATACTGTCATAATTTCTGAATATTAAGTAGCCTTGAGGATAAAAGGACCAGGCCTGAGTGACTGCTTAGATAATTATCAGATGAAAATCCAGTAGCATTATCTATAAAGCTAATGAAAGGTCAGAATACAACACAGGCCCTAAAAATACACCGTCCTCCAGGGACAGACAAGCCACAATGTGCGTGTGCATGTGTGAGTGCGAGCCAGAGATCCAGATCTGTGATAATTTATTGTGCTGTAAATTTAGATCTGCCGACAGAGATGAACTGCCTTGAACAAACACAGCGGTGCTGGAACTCCAGAAGCTTCTGAAACGTTTGGCTAGCTCTCAGGGAAGGTGTCGGGGCCTGTTGTCAACCACTTTCCCCTGATGCAATGGGTGCAACAGAAGGCATGTATATTGAAGAGAGATTGTGCAGGTGCAAAACATGCTTGCACACACACACACACACACACACACATCGATATCTTTTGCTACAGTATGTACCCTAAGTTACCTCATGGTTGGCCTCTACAGGGCTAAGCTCTGCATACCCTTTCTTTCTTTATCCCCAGGATGCCCTGTCATTAATAGATTTTATAGCTCCTGTGAACACACTAAGTGTCTGTAGATGTGAGGGCGATAACGCTATAATAGACTTATAGCGTTTACTTGGTCGCCAGAGGATGCCGTCATGCTGGACAAATTCGGAGCATGCACACATGAGTGCACACACAGATGCACATAGACACACACTGTGTAGAGCAGGTGATACAGATGACATCAAAGGGATATACGGGGCAGCATGGCCTCTTTGACGTTTAACACATCTCAGAAACTTCTTAGGAGAAAACAGGTTTGCTTCACTGGCATTACATAGACTGGGACAATGATACAAACAGTCACAGGGACAGAAATAATCAGGCATACATTGTCCATATTAGGTGGGATAAAGTGGGATAAACTTTAATCCGACTGCTTTGATTCCCTCTTCCACTTACAACATTTACTTTTTAAAGAGTGAAATGTTTTTAAAAGAATCCAAATTGAAATTTACCTTTATGGATGCTGGTCATTTTGAGAGCACTGCTTCTCTTTGCTCCCTCTTGGTGGAACTGAGTTTGTGCTGAGTAGTTTCCTGTTTTAGTAGGGAACTGTCTGTGTGACGTACACTGCAGGTCATGGGCAGCTGGTCACATGGTGGCTGGCTGAGGTAGCACAGTGAGCACTGAATCAGTGAACTGAACTCTGAAACAGTGAATCCTTCTTGTGTGTCTTTATACTTTGTACACAGAATAAGGAGTGAGTCACCCTGTAAACCAAGACTGAAATCATTGGTAGAAATTCTTCCCATGTCTTTATGGGTGGGAGCTTGTGTTTTTCATTTATTTATTCGGGCGGAAATAGTGTAATGAAAGCATTATAATTAGTCCATGGCAGGTATGTTTCTCATTTTGTAGGCTGCACCAGAACATGGACTGCTATAAAAACAGAAAATCACAACACAACACAACGATAACACACCCTTCAAAAATTCAAAAAGCTGATCTTTTAGTGTTGTGTGAGTAAAGATGATTCTTTTAATCATTACAATGAAAGTCAAAAACTGTTAATTATAGTAAATGAGTGTGGTGAAAATGGAATAAATTTGAAAGACTAATGTGTCCATATAGTAAAAACAAAGAGTTTTGTGTTGGCTATCTTATTAAAGAGGGCTTAAGGCACAGGACTCAAGTGCTGATATTGGTTTTGTAGTGCAGGTATACAAAGTATACTTGCTTAAATTTCAGTCAGCATAGGGTATCCCCTCTGATGTGCATCATTCAGTAGCTACAGTGTTCTGCAAGCTGATTTCTTTTTCCTAGGATGGTGAAGGGATGACATAGTCGTCACATTTTTATGAATGGATGGAGTAACAAATGAGGAGTGCTTCTCTCAAAATGCATATTTATGTAGTCTCTGTTATTATCCTTACTCTCTGAAGACCAGCAGCACAAACAAATACTACTTGCCCATTTTTGGGTGAACTAAATAGGCAAGAGTAGTCTTACATGTCACTGTTTATAACAAAGGGCATTTAGTAGTATTTAGTACTGATTGCTGTACATATACACAAAACTGTGGTCCAGATAAAGCTCTAAGCCTCTTTGGTGTTTCTTTCGGCTCATAGAGCTTACTTTCACATTTTTCTCCTTTACAGTGTTTTAAGGCAGACTGAGTGGAGTTGGCGTATGCTGCGTCAGATGAGCTTTTCTATGAGAAAAGTTAAAAGCAGTTTATTCGGTCAGGTCTAGGTCAATCAGACCATACATTCAGAAGAATCTAATGTTATCTCAACTTTATAGATAAGAATGCAGATGTGAATACATTTAAGATACAATAAAAGTCCCCCAAATCACACTCAGATATAGTCAGGGATAGTCTTGATGTGGTGTTTTGAAGCCACATTGGGCCACACTGAACTTTTTTTCAAAGAAAAAAATCCATACTGCAGCACATCTCAAATATGGTATATCATCTTGAGTGAACTAGTTTACTAGATGCAAGCTATTGTGAATGTTTTGAGCTTGTCAAATGGAATTCATTAAGAGAGTGAGGTATATGTTTCTTTTCTCGCATATTGAGAGAGAAGCAAAACGCACTCATTCATCAGAGATTAATTGTTATTGTTATTGTTGCTGACATAACAGGGATATGTCTGGATACAAGAATTGACTCATTTAAATTTCTCATGTGGAAGCACAGCTTTTATCGTTCTAAAAATTAGTAATCAAACATAAAACAAGAACAGAATAAGAATACTTCCTGGCTCTCTGTGTGACTAATTTCTATATATTTCCAGGTCCATGACGGTGGTGGTTATATGAGCCCTGTGTGACCTGTGATGGGGGTGGCATAGACAGTGTGGTTGAGGCCACAGGAATCCTGCTGTGGATGTTCTGTGAGCACTCACACCGTGTGATTGACGTTCAGTTCTGTAGTGAAAGTTGTATACCTGGTGTTTTAGGTTGAATTCTTGAGTGTGGGCCATTATGGCCCTTTGGCAAAAGGCTCTGTGGTGAGGTCTCTAAGTTGTAGGAGAGGTGCTTCCACGCCCTGAGTGATGAGAGCAAGGTTTAACCGGCTGCAGGTGCGCTTGAGACAGGCGGGTAGGGCCTTTGAAGTGGAAGCCAACTGGGACCCGGGCCCATCTCTGACCAGCAGCCAGCACAGACACATTCGCTTTCAATTAACACTCTCCCTTCTTTCCCGATCGCTGCTCTTTTGCTTTCTGCTCTCTTTTTCAGTACTCATATACGTATGTTCTGAGGAGAACAGCATGAAAACTGCGGTTGAGTAATTTAATATCCTATTTGACGTTACTAGTGATGAGTTGATTAATTCACTGCAGTCACGATGCCAAGATTATTTTTCAGAAGGATTTTGACAATCTGAGTTCCTGTTCTGTGTCTGTGTGTCTGTGTGTCTGTGTGTGAGAAGCTTCTCTCTTAGATTTCATGATGTGGTTGAGCATCCAGAGAACTGCGAGTCCTCAGAGCTCTGACACCGTGATCTATTGTTTCTCATTTGTCTTTATGTGATGAAATCATGGATCTCCTCTCTCTCTGCATGCTGTCATCTGAACAGGACACATCCTGTCTTTGGCACTACTAAACAAGAAAGCAGTCATACCAGCTTTATAACCTGATAGACAAATATTGCAGATGTTTTTATGGCTCATTGGTTGCTTGTATTTGAACAACGTATATACACACAAGTATGTATGTAAGCATGCATGCACACATCTCATTAAAGCGAGTGAAAAAGAGAAATAAATGGCTGTTTCGATGGTAAGCTCCCTGGAGGCAGCTACATCTGGCTCCTGTTAGCCACAAGCGTATAAAAATCAAATGCGGTTTAGTCCCAGGCATTCTGTACTCTGTACTACACAAACAC